AGGTGTTTGATTTAAACTTAGTGCTATCAGGAATTTTAATGTAATTTTTTATTGTTATAGAAAAGCATCATGATGACATTACTAGGTATTTTCCTGGTTACTCTTAGGTTGAACCCATTCTTGGGGCTACTAATCCTGACATTCTCTTCTGTGAGAATGACAAGTACCTGCCATGTCTCTTGCCCATTTCTCCTGTATGTTGTCTGTCATTTTTCTTCCTCACAGTTCTTGTTATATTTTGGATATGAGCTCTTTTTTGAATTCAGGAGATTCAAGTAGCTTTTTTGACCTTATGACTTACATTTTTATTCTCATATTGGAGTCTTTGAATTACCAGAATTTATTAATGTTAAAAAAGTCTACTTTATCATTTTGGGTGTTAGTGATCATTTTGGACCTACTTCTGGAATCAGTGAAGGTTCATGAATAATCTCCTACATTACACTCTAGGTTTATTGTTTTCCTATATTACCATTATGTAATTGATGGATCATAATTTATAGCAAATATTTTTTCATAAATAACTATATATGCATATATAATTTTATATATACATATATGCTAACCTGCTTTATATAGATAATATTATTATATATCTTATATAGGTGATAATATATGTAATATTATATGTATATATATATATATACACACACAGTAGTTGTCCCTTTACTGGTGGGGGATATGTTCCAAGACCCCAGTGGACACCTAAAATCACTGATAACACTGAACCTTATATATACAATGCTTTTTCTTAGACATAAATTCCTGTGATATAGTTTAATTGATAATTAGGCACAGTGAGAGATTAAGAACAGTAACTAATAATAAAATAGAACAATTATAAAATTGTACAGTAATAAAAGTTATGTAAATGTGGTCTGTCTCATTTCTCTCTCAAGATATCTTGTTTTACTATACATTTGAGGCACGACAGCAGAACTAGCACACATTTTTTTTTCCTCCATAATTTCACTGATAGAGCATTATTTCTTACTATAGGTCTTAGCGATTTCTGCAGACAATTTCTCATCTTTCCTTATCAAATCGAGAACTTTCACTTTTCCATTTACAGAAAGCACTTTGCAGCCTATCTTTGGCACATTTGATTGCCAGTGTCACTAGTCTTGTGCTTAGTAATTACAGAAAAGGTGACTTGAACACAAGCCCTGATCCTGTGACCGTGGCTCTGATAACCAAGAGAGCTGCAGGCGACTAACATTAGGGACGGGGGCATGTGCAGCGTAGAGATGCTGGACAAAGGGATGCTTCATGTCCTGGGCAGGACGCAGTGGGACAGGGAGTTTCATCATGTTACTTAGACGACACACAGCTGAAACTTGAGTTTTTTCATTTTGGAATTTCCCGTTTAATACTTTTGGACCCTGGTTGACCTTGGGCTTTTGAAACAGCAGGTAATTGAAACCACGGATAAGGGGGGACCACTGTATATAAGACACAGTTTACACCGTCTACAGCAGTTTGAGTAACATGGAGAAACTTATCTCCCTTTTGTGCCTTTACTGTGTCCATTTATAATATAGTTGTCCTAAATATTTTGTCAATGTACATTGAGAATCACAAATCAGAATGTTATAATTCACTTAAATTTATAATTTTGCCTCAACTATGAATCAATTTAGAAACAGAAGAGGAGAAGGAAAGCCTGTTTATCTAATAAAGTTTTTACTCTGTTTTCTTTTCCTTCCTGATGATCCAAGAGTCCCTCTTTTATCATTTAATTTCTGCTTAGATGTTTCCCTTTAGCTATTCTACTAGAGTGGGCTTGGTGGTGACCTGTTTTCTTAGTTTTTCTTTTTCTGAGAATGTCTTGATTTCCCCTTCATGCCTGAGTGGTATTTTCACTGGACTTTTCTATGGTTTTTGGTTGGAAAAAGGCAGTTAGCATCTAAAATTTTTCTATCTTTCTAGCCTGCTCCTTTTGTTACCTTTGATTGAGGACAAAAGGCTTTCCTTGGGACACTTGTCTGTATCCATGGGTGTTTGTGGTTTGCTGGCCTCTCCAGCCTCCAGTCTGGGATAAATGAGGTAAAAAGAAACTCCAGGGAGCTCACTGCCATCTCACTCATCAGGTCCCGACTCCCCAGTTCTGTCATCTTTCTCATCTCCTTTTGAATCTTTTTATGTTTGTTTCTTTTATGTGTAATGTCCAGCGATTTTAGGTGTACGAGTGTTTAGTGAGATCAAAAACATCCACCCCGGTCTTTCCAGAAAAAGAAGTCTGATCTGTAGCAACTTTAATTTAATTTTCTTAAGATTAATGGTCTTGAGAATCATTTCATGTACTTATTTGTCACCCTTATTGTGTTAAAACAGTTCAGATAAAATTCACCATTATCAATTTAAAAGAAAGACAATCTTGATTTTCTAGAACAGTTTAGGTTTCAGCAAAATGCAAATAATACAGAGATTTTTCTATATAACCCTAATGGCTACTCAGCTCCCTCGTCTGGTAGTGTTCAGAACAAATGTGGATTCTGTGTGAGATAATGTGGTGTAAGTGCTGCTGGAGGTGGGAAATATTTCCCCCATTCCTTCATTTTTATACTGACTCAAGCCACATTATACTCCTGCATTTTCCCTCAGGATTATGTCTTTGTCTGTGTCTTCAATGTTTTTTAGTCATTTGATTATAATGTTTTGAGAAGTGGANAAAATTCTCCTTTGACAACAGGGATCCAGAAAGGTACAGAATGATTTTCAAAGCTCTGATATTAGTACAGTTTATAGTTTTTCTGTAACTCAGGGGAGGCAAAAATAACAATAGGGGTTTTTGGAATACATAAATTACATATTGGGCAATAAATGTTCATAAGTAATAACTTTAGGAGAATGCTCCTTCTTATGGAATATGAATAAATGTTCATTTTAAATCACCATATCCGCTCTGTTATTGCTGATTGGCTTACATTTCCTCCTGCTATACTGTGAGACAAATAATTTTGCTATTCTAAAAAGGTGGTTTTGTCCATTGACTTTCATGATATGTGTTGATGTGGATGTTTATGTTTGTGTGTTTTCTTTATTTGGGCACATAATTTAGGGGGTGAGAGGCTGACCCTTGTATGTGAGTGTGTGTGATTGTGTTTGGTTTTATTTGTACCAGCCTGTGAGGGTGCATAGCAATATTATGCACATGTATGTTTATAGTTATGCAAATAGGTAACTTTCTTTTTTAATTAAAATTGTTTTTAATAATAATTTTCAGCATATCAGTGTGGTTGTAGTCCAGATGAGTGGTTTACATATTCCAACAATTGTTATTACATTGGCATTGAAAGAAAAGCATGGACTGAGAGTCAGATGGCCTGTGCTTCCAAGAACTCTAACCTGCTTTATATAGATAATGAAGAAGAAATGGTAAGATTTTAAATGTTTCCTATATTATATTAAAAGATTATTTGGCCTACGTTATATTTGTAGTATACATTTATATTTTAATATATGTTTGTAGTTTATTTTAAAGCCTATTAATATTCTATTGTTTAACTCTTTAATATTTTATTTATATTTCATGCCATTCATTCACATTTAATAATTTCCAGTTCTTACTGTCCATAGAAAACCATGCTTCTGTAAATGCTTTTTGTGTAAAATAAGTTTTGCAATTTCATTTTGCTATACCATTTTAAATTATATCAAGGAAACTAACTAAACATATCATGATTGTGCAGCTTGATATAAACTGGAAGGACCCATGTAGTTACAAATCAGATCATGAAATAGAAGTTTCCAGTTCACAGTAGCCCCCTCCTCTGTATTCTCTCACATCTTTTCCTCCCCGCTCACTTAACCACTATTCTGATTTTTAATATTCCAAATTTTTTTTTCTTAAATTTAAACTTTATGTACCAGGGGTCATTCAGTATGCATTATATGTGCCTCCTTTCATGCCCATATGATATTTTTGCAATTCATTCA